TTTTATATAAATTATTGTGTACCTATTTTTAATTATGAAAAATATACGCAATTACAAAATAATTGACTTTGTTTTTTGTTTTTTTTTTGGTAAATAATATACCTATATTTTATATGTATATATTTATATTATATTTTTCATAGGTACATTATTGGATATGTAATTTACAGATTTTTGTTTTGTTTGCAATTTTAGTGGGCGAGATGTGAGAGGGAATGACAACTAAAAGAAATGGGGTGATTGATATGCTATTAATAGGGAGTATATTAATTACAATTATGGCAGTTAATGAAATGCTTGAAATAAAACTATAAATAAAATATGAAGTTTAGTGGCAACGATGTAAAAACATAGAAATACTACGACTTCTTATATCCTACTGGTCATTTAAATTTGAAATTGGGTTTTACACATAGATTTATAGAGTGATGGGTATATGTCTAGGAAATAGAAAATGTATGGATCTATATTGGACAAGCTCTTTAAATTTCAAGTAGATTCAATTCAACAATCTGCTTTCACCCTTACTTTCAGTTTCAGACATGTTTCGTAAATTAGTACTAATTTTTTTTTGTGCAAAATCTGTTTATTGAAATGATGACATACTAATACTAAGAAATACATGCATGCATTATGCATATGTACTTTTTTCTTTTTTGTACGTAACCAGTTTGATTATTGAATGACAGGGATGTGATGCATCGTTGCTTTTGGACGACACGGCAACCTTTAAAGGAGAGAAAACGTCAGTGGCCAATGCCAATTCTCTCAGAGGATTTGAGGTAATCGACAATATCAAAGCTGAATTGGAGAGCCTCTGCCCCAACATGGTCTCCTGTGCTGACATCCTGGCCGTTGCTGCCAGGGATTCCATTGTTGCAGTAAGCCGCCAACAATCTCCTTCAATTCCTATAATTTAATTACTGTCTTCATAATAGTCTCTTCTGTTCTGTTCTAATCTCTTCCATTCTGTTCTAATCAGCTGGGAGGACCCACTTACACAGTGGCATTGGGCAGAAGAGACTCCACCGCTGCAAACTTGACCGCAACCGAAGACCTCCCCAGGCCCTTCGCCAATGTGACCAAACTAATTGCGGCTTTCTCCAAAAAGGGCTTCACCGTGATAGAAATGGTGGCTCTATCAGGAGCTCACACTATAGGGCAAGCGAGGTGCGCATTCTTCCGTGGACGTCTGTACAACGACACCCATATCAACGCCTCATTTGCAGCAGTTGTGAGAGCAAAGTGCCCAGGAAATCGAGGCTCAGGGGACAACATTTTGTCTCAACTTGACGTCACAAGCCCAACCACGTTCGACAATGCCTACTTCAAGAACGTGGTGAGCCAGAAGGGGCTGCTGCACTCAGACCAGCAGCTATACAGTGGTGGGTTCACAAAGACCGCGGTGGATGCGTATGCCAATAATGCTGCCAGTTTTATGGAAGACTTTGCCGAAGCGATGAACAAGATGGGACGCCTTAGCCCTCTAACAGGCTCCAGTGGTCAAATTAGAACAAACTGTCGAAAGGTCAACTAGACCTTGTTTTAAGACCTACAGCTTAGCCTTGGCTTGGCTGGTTTGAAAATAATATGCTTTGTTCTAGAAATATGGATAAATTACACCAATAGATCTCCCTGATTTCAGTATATGATTAGAATTTAGAATTAAAGATGAGCCACTTTTCTTTTTAACTGGATCCTTTGGGATGAGACACTTCTGCTGTCGGATTGGATGTTTCATATAACAATGGATTAATTTAATAAATTATTTAAAAGGATTGAAATCCAAGTTTAGTATGATGAGGCTTCATTGTCCAAACTATGAAACAAAGATTGGACACTGGACTTTTCAAACCACTTGAAAAACATGCGGGTTTGGAAATAGGCCAGCAAGGGAAGCTTCATGAAACCAACAAACCTACCAATTCTTCTCTTTAATTTATTTTCCAAAAGAAGAAACAAACAAAGCATGTACTTGGCATCGCTTGAACCTTCTGGTCTCACACTTACTTAGACTTATGCATGAGGTGGTCATTTTTACATGCATGACTGTTTTGATTATGAGAGCTGGAAATGGATTTGACCTGTTTCGTAATTTTTCGATTTCACCACAAGGAAAGTTGAAGTTACAGGATCAAACATTTTCATAAAAGCATTTGAGTTTTATAGCACATATTTTACAACAAATGTTCAATCATGTGTCCAGTCACAAATATATAATAGCACAGGCAAGCACCTAGGAGTGTAAAAATACATAAAGTGAAGTGGTAGTCACACCATTCCAGGGTATCTTTGTTGCCAAGACTAAGATTCAGACAGTCAAGACAGAATGGATACATCATTCCTCCATCATTCCAGTATCTCTTTGTTGCCGAGACTAAGAGTCAGACAGAACAGTTACAACTGTCACTGGCGATGCTTCCTCGGTACTAGCTACGCTCGAATTGCAGGCATGAAGTGTAGTGCATATGTCTGTTGTTTCAAGGAACTGCTCTGCATTGGCAAGAAATAATGGTCCATATTCGAAAACAATCCTCTTGCACTGCCAAAAAATTTTAGGATATTAGAAGAACTAAACGAACGTCCTGAAGCAGTGAAACTACATTGAATGATGAATATCAACTTTCAGTTTGATCAGCAGTTCATGAAAATCTCTCTTCTATCTATATTCTAGTCCAACATTATGGGGCCAATAAATCTTTAGTAAAGCTAACTTCCTGGTAAAAACACACTATAGATATTGACTAATTTTCTTAATTGTCCTCACCTTTTTGGCATAGTTCTCCACCGAATTGCACGCCTTCAAAAGCAACTCAATGATCTCCAGCTGACAGAAAAAGAAAGAGAGCATTTAAGCTGTCTTGGTAGAATCAAGCCACTTGGCTCATGGAATATAATATTTCTGAATGTATATGGATGAATGAAGGATCTCCAATAAGAAATGTAAACTATAAGTAATCATAGACATTTCTCACTATAAATAATTGCAAAGTTGCTAAAATCAAGAGAAATTCCAGCAGTATGTTCTACCCACACTCCAACTGAAAAGTTCCTTATTAAGTTTTCACTCAGGATTCAGGTACATCTTTTTAGTTCTCATTAAGGTCAATGCATTTATAACATCACTATATTACTCATATCTACCAAAATTGTATTGGTATCTCATCTATGTTTGCAGACAGAAGCATTTCTGAAAACATACATCCCAAATCCTAAATAAACATTCCACACAACTGTTCAAAGCTGCCGGTGTAATCTGTAAGCTTTGCAACTCAACCAATTCTGTCAGTCTATCTTAGTAGTGGCTGCTCATTTACAAAACAGTTTCTACCTCTCTTTGTATACTTTATAATATCCTTCTACTTTTTGCAAAGGGTAGTGGTGGAGGTTTTCCAAGATTTGGAGAGGGCTTGAAGGCGATTACAAAAAGCTACCAATAAAAGGATAAAAAGCGTTTCAGGTTTAGAGTCATTTATTATTTATTTGGCCTTAGATGGATCCAATAACGGCAATCTAGCATGGGTCAAGCATGGTACACGATTTAAGTCAATTCACATGTGCAGTAGTTTGTGACCTTTTGGATACAAACTAAATATCAGTGATTAATAAAGAAGGAATACGAATTAAGATTGATGTATGGACGGCTTCAAGTTTTCTTCTTGCTTGAGGATTCTATAAAACTGGCACAGGGTTCCATCTTGTAAGTTCCAAAGGATAATGGTAATCACAATTAATCATTACAATTAATCACACACACATAAAAATATTTGTGGGCAAGTCAAGGTCAAGAAAAGTAAACATTAAGAGCTACTTATCAAAATATGATAAATTCAGAAATACGTTTCTTCTAGTTAAATGAATAGTGCGCATACGAACCTGTGTATCAGGATCTTTCAACTTAACCAATACTTCTGAAACAGCACGGTGACATAATCCACAGCTATCCTCTCGGAGTTGTGAAGAAAATAAAGCAACCTGCTGACAGAGGTTGACCTTCCGGCAGAACTCACTAGGTTGTAGAGAGTAGACCTCTAAGAAGAAGAGAGGAGCATAATAGTCCACCAAAGTAATACACTGTCCCACAAAAAGAAAAAGAAAATAGACATTCAGGATGTTTTTTCCGGAGGTAGGGGGCTTGAGATAATTATCAGAACTCTATAAAGCTTCTTATAGTAATAAATTTCATAGCGTATTAGAACTCTGATAAACTTCTTGTAAATTTGTACTGACATGCTCAAAAACTAATAGAAACAATTTTGGGGATGGCTGCAGTTAACCAGACACATCTTTTAGTTTATGTGCAGTTTTTCTACAAAACTATATTGTCGCAATTGGAAAAGGCAACTACCTGCTGCTTGAAAGAGCGCAATTGAGAGCAGGTCTGATGTAGGGCTTCAATGATCTCGGTCTGGGTCTTGTTTTCATCAAGGTAATCAAGTGCCTGCGCAGCAAACTCCTCACACAATGTGCACACATTATCATTTCCAACAAATTCATCCCCAGAAACTTGTAAAGTTTGAGTTTCCACCTCTTGAATATGGTGGGCTGTCTTTGTAACTGAATCAGAGAGTAAAGCCATCAGTTAAGCAATAAGTTTGCTGCATGGGAAGCAATTACTTCTCTAGAAAAATCGAGGTGTCAATGGGACCCTAGATTTTCAACGACAATTGAATTACCAAAAACATGTTCCACTTTCATTCTCATTGGAAAGCGGATTTTTTTACCTGGTAAATTTAGGTTTGCCAGATGTCTAGCATCACCGGCCCAACTAGCTCCCAGCACAAAAAGAACTAAGACCCCAACTCTCACATCCATGGTGCCTGAAGCTGCAATCATCCAACAACATAAGAAGGCCTCTATGAGAAAAAATTTAGTACTTGAAACGATGACAGCCCATAATTGATCATACATGCAGGTTCACGACATAAAGAAACCGAAGAAAGTGGCGGTGAGATAATCTTAATGTAGTAACAAGAGAGCTTAAGGTGCAAACAAGGTTCAAGAATAGATAGAAGACCCAATCAGAATTTTGTGACTTCATTCTAATTACATTCTAAGAATACTTTGTGCCTTTTAAAACTGGGAAATTATTGCCTTATGTCACTAGATATCAACACAACAAGGGCTCAATGAACTAGGATAAGGGCCATAGCCCTCTATTCATCACTCACTTCAATACTGTTTGTAACACACCTGTCCAAGTTTTGAACAAGCTGAATTCACCAAACCAAATTGGGCAAGGAAAAGCTAGTTAAAGTCTACTGGAAGCTGAATTCACCACTCTTTGGATTTGCTAGTCATGTTTATGGTGATTACCCAATTGAAATGATATTACTAGTTAAAACATAACAGCAATAACATCAACAACCAAACAAACACAACCTTACTTAGAGACCAAAAGCAAGAAACTTTGTCAACGACATAGAAACAGAACAACGAAATAAACAATCATACATAACCAAATACCAGACATGCCGAAAACATTGAAAGGAAAAGCAAAACAGAAAAACTAGATAGAGAGATATCAAATAAAATCTTAAAAATCAGCTTGGTGCTTTCTGCTGAGAAAACGTGCGAAAGAAAACAAGGAACAAGTTTGAGCCAGGATTTGGAGTTATACTTGTAAATATCTAACGATTTTCGATGCAGGAAAAACTAAAAGGAGCAGAATTGAAATCCCAAACAATCGGAGATTGATACATGGAGAGATATATTTACCTGGGTTTGTGGAAAAAGCAGGATTTTGAAATTCCGCTTCTTTCCTTTCAAGTGTTGAGGGGTTGGCGATGCGTTGAATTGTCGTTGGCGGTTGCTTGCTTCCTTTATTTATACAGCTGCCGATCTGGGTTTGGCTTCTTATGTGCTAAGCAACATGCCACATGGACTGCTTCCAACGTGTCAAATTGGAAGTTGTGATCTCCTGCCTATCCAATTAGAATTGGGGATTTTTTTCCTTAGCTAAACGTCACTTTTTTTTTCCTTGTAGTTTATCTCTCTTTTTTTTTTTTTTTTGCCCTTAGTTAGTTTCATTTTTGTCAATTATGCCCTTATAGTTTCATAATGATAGCAATTTAAGGACAAGTCACAAATTCCGTCAATTTCTTTCACGGCGTCAAGGGTATTTCTATCCATTTTTGCTCAATGTTGGGTAAAAAACAAATTCCAATCAACCCATCATTATTCAAAGTAGTGAAAAAAAAATTTAAAATTTGCATTATTTTCTATTTAAATTCATATTTTACAATTGTGCAGATTCATCTCTTTTGACACGTTTTTACTAATACGGTTTGTGAGTTATCTTAAGAAGTACTAGGGATATTCCAAAGAAGTATTTTTTGTTCCATTATTTTTTCTTGTTTGGATGAAAATTATTCAGAAACACGTTATAAAAATAAATAAATAAATAAATTTTTTTTAAAAAAAAAAGGATTAAATCATCAATAAGATGAAATAGGGTTATAACTTTTGAAATGGAAGTTGGCCTGTTTTGATGAATTCTTTTATATCGTAATTTGGTCAAATTTGCATGCTTGATGAATCCTAATTGGTTTTCTTTTTAAACCAATTGATTATTGGCTCTTACAGGCTCTGATATCTCCACCAGCAATTGCTTTTTTGGGACAAAGCACAATTCTTTTTTGATACAAGGCACGATTGACATTGACCACCATATGAAGTTATTAAACAATTAGATTACTTGGAACAATTACCACAAATTTGGACTATCCATCTAGAAGCCTATCTTCAATTGTTTGTACACCTTTCTGGGAAGAGATTAAACATCGCTCTAGAGAAGAGTTTTAGCATTAGATAGATACGCGTCTTTTACAAACATTTTAACAACCAATACATAAAGGCTATATAGATAATAAGTAAAACCAGAAGTCTGGGAACAACTCCCATCTAAACGAAACAAATCAATTCTTAAGCAAGAACAATCGGAGACGGAGGAGAGGAAAAACATACGCGCGCACACACACAACTAAAGTCAGTTCTTGATTGAGGTCAGCTGATTGACAAAGCTGAATCACTTCAAGTTTGGAGTTGGCTTCTTCTTTTTCCTGCTTTGCTTTGTCAAAAGTAGTGAGAATCGAGCAAATCCAGACTTCTTTCTCTTAGCAGAAGAATTCCTGACATTGCTTTCCCTCTCAGACCTCCTAGAAAAGGGTTGATCGCCATTTTGTTTCTGGAGCATTTGCCCCAGTGACATCTTTTGCCTTACAGGGCTTTTCCCGGCCACCTCCATTTCAACCTCTTCTGGCAAAAGCAGCTTCCTGCTTAGTATCTGTCCTATTGATAAGGTTGGCTTCAGAACGGGTATTGGCCCATCAGTAACAAGATTCAGACCATTTACGTCACGTAATTGCAGATCTCTCCCATGATTAGATGGGTGTGGATTTTTGAACTTGGTAGAGTTGTGTACCGAACGTCTTTTATGACCATGCTGGGATCTCCATTTGCGAAGAGCTTCTTCAACTGCTAGTTTCCCCTTATTTGCAGTCTCCACTCTGTTCAGAGCTTCTTCCAATGCCTTTTTAGTGGTTTTGACTTCTTCAGTTGCTTCCTCTACCTTTTTCAGGATTTCTGTTTTTGATACGTTTGCTTCATCAAGATGAAGCATGGCATCTGTTACCCTGTTCTTAGAAAGTTCCTCTGCATCTCGAACTTTGCGAGTTAGAGATGAGTATTCCTCAAATGAAAGAGTCACTCTGTCATGCTTCTGCAATGAATCTCCAGATGAACTCTCGTGGTATGATAGAGCCTTAATCTCTGCAAGAGCAACAGCTTCTACCGCTCTTGCTGCCTCTTTCATTTTTCTGGCAGCAACCAACCTGATTTCAGCTGTTTTTATCTTAGTTCTTGTCTGTTCAATCTCAGATGTTGCTCTCACGACCTCTGACTTTGCAGCTTCTGCCATTCTTTTGAACTGCTCTGTCTCAGAACTCAATCGGTGAAGCTCCTTTGAAATATCTAAAGAATTATCAGGACCACCTTTAGTTTCAGCATCCTTTGCCAACTGCAGCTTTAGTTTTGTTTTCTTTAGCTCTTCTTCAAGAGATAATACTTTCAAAGAATTTGATGTTAACCTCACACGGGTTTTCTCAAGCATGATTCTTTCTTTCTCTAATTTCTTGTTGAATGATTCAACAGAAGCTCGAATGTCAGCAAGATCAGTTGTAGTCCTGGTAAGGTTCAACTTAGCCTGTTTCAATTCCATTAAGATTAAACCTGGAGCTGAAGAAGAGCATGGAGTCACACCTTCCATTGAATTACAGCGACCACCCTCATTCCCATGGTTTTCCTTATCGTCTTCATTTTCCACTGGAGTCATGTATTCCTTACCTCTATTTGTCTCAAGGGCCATATTCACTTCAGATGCTTCTTTCTGTAGCTTCTTTTTTAACTCATCAATAACCTTTTTAGTTTGTTCAAGTTCTATTAGAACATCCAGAGTTTCCTTTTCTTTCAAAGTGAGATCCTTCTCCAACTGTAAAGCCTGCTCCTCCAGTTTCGCAGTGCCAACCTCTTCCATGTCATGCTGTTAATAGGAGAAATGTCACCATACGATAAGGTTATTAAACACATAAAATAAGAAACCATGCTTCATTTAGCATTTCAGTAAGCAATAAATAGAAGGGGAAGAAATAATTAATATAAAGAAGGAAAAAAACTTATACGAGAGATATCAGAAGAACCAAAAAGACAGAAAATTAAACTGTAGAAAGCCAGCTTCGGTTATCAAGTAATCGCTCTCATTCATGAAGTTGCGGATGCAGAAAGAAAATCTGGGGCTTAGGAGTTATTGCCAGTCTCTCTATGACAGGAAATATATAGAGAATCAGGGTCTTAGGAGGTCATGGTCTAGTAATTCTATAAAATGGGTACCCTAAAAATTGATTTGAACACCAAAAGAGCCCAGAGTTACAACTTAGTAATCTCCCCTTCAGTGGAACTACATACTAATATATGGCAAGATGTATCAGAAAACACTACATTATGGAACAAACCAAAACCTTGAGTCCCCTACAGTGACATAATCCACTATTGCTTTGAGACTAAAGTAAACACAACACCCCAGTTTTCTCCACACGAAAAGATTATCCTGCGGGATCTTCTTGAGCCATAAAGCCATAAAATCCAACAATGGCAGCCCAATAAGATAGTGCAGACTCTTTGGCACACCATTTCATACAAACTGACAGTCACAAATTTCTTTAAAAGTTAAACTATGTTTGGAAGCAAACGGATCACTTGGGTTGCTCAATGTGAGAGTGCGCCTCCATTACAATTAACAATGTGAACCAACAACCAAGTTTAAAGAACACAAAAGTGCATTTAACTCAAACTTCCTCCTGACCCCAAAGAACAAGGCCATAAATCCCAATCCATGTAATTTTTCTGCTTTAAAATAAAAATCCCATTCCCAATTTCTTCATTTTCCAAAAGAAAAACCCTATCTTTATTCGTCTGGAGAGAAAGAAAGTAAGCGGGAGCATACCTCAGGCCCGGAAGGCTTAGTCTGAGCGGGTTTCCAGTAACCGATTCCACCAAATCGACTCACTGCCTCCCTCACCGATTCAAAAGGAGCTGAAGTATCGATCTCTGCCCTGAAAACCCTCTCCTTCTTCACATCCAAACCCGAATCAGGCTCCATATTAAAACCCGACAACTAAAATGAAATCCCAACAAAATGAAAAACAAAGATCCAAACTTTCAGAAACCCAAGACTTGTTATGAACAGAATGAGTTTGGTGGGAGACAAAATTAGCAAGTAATGATGTTTGGTTATGGTTTGAGCAGAGCTCAGAGTCTTCAGTCACACAAACCTAAGAAGCACGGCTATTAGTACATAGCAAAATCCGAGAAAAGAGGGAAACATAAAAAGGAAAAAAAAAATCCAAAAATCAAAAGAGACGTTTGGTTTATTTGAAGTTCCAGAATTACCCTTGATTTTTGGAGTGTTTTACTGATGTTGCAGGGGAAGATGAGGAGATATAATGCTGAGTTTTTATGGGCCTTATTGGAAAGGCGGGAGTGGAGTGATATGCGCATTGATTTTTGAAAATGGTGGGGGCATTGTACGCGCGAGTGTCGTTCGTTTTTCAACGGCAACAAAAAGCCATATCACCTAACGGGCTTCTGCCTTCTGGGTAATCATAAAAGCGCGTTAAGAAAAAGCACTTTGTCCTCTTTGGCTTGGGCTGTTGGGCTGTTACTGTTCGTTCGAATCTCTCAGAGATACTCGAGTGAATCCATGGCCCCCAACGTTCACCAAAACTGAGAGAGAGCAGTATTTGATTAAAAATTAACGATTTTAGAGCTTAGATGGTTAGAAGATTTTTTAAACGTGTAAAATTTTAGAGCTTAGATTTTAAGGTAGCTAGTTTTGTATTAATTTATCGCTTCGATTTTAGGTTTGAAGTATCATACTTTGGGCAATGTTGATAAACATAATCAAAGTTGAATTGAAGAAAAATAAGTATAAAGTGATGTTTTCTCAACATGTCATATCTTTAAGAAATACATATGACGTTATGCATAAAGAGTTCAGAAACAACGAAGTCTATAAATGAGGTACAATAGTAGCTACATAATACTAACTAACTGAATACATTAAAAGAATGAATTAGATATAAGTGAGGAATTAAGAAAAGGAACATAAAAGTGGAACCAACCAAAGATAGTTTGGTTGATATTGTCTCTCACTTTATCAACTGTTTTTGTGGGTTTGTGTGCAAACCAACTTGTTGTCACTTTAACCTTTTAACCTTAACGAACATTACGAGGTATTGAGGTTACCGTTTGAACTTTCATACTGTGCAAAAAGCAAAGTCTGCGTTTGAATTTTACTTCTGTTGGGCCGAAGAATTGAGTTCATGCGTTCCATGTCCAAAATAGCAAACATGTCAGTGGTCCGTTTCTTATGAGAGTAGAGTGGGCCGAACAGTTTAAAAACGCCGGCCCAATTAAAAGATTTCCCTCCCTTACATCCTTTGAAGAAATGAAAGGGACAATTCTACACATTAAAAACACATGTGCTAGCAAATAGCAACAGGGCGATTTTGGCTTCAGCAACTTTTAGGCGTGTAACAGTTGCGACCACAGAAGCCATTTGATCGAGAGAGAGTTATGAGGGCATGCTGCATGCTGCTGCATGCGACTGAAATCTAATAAATTCATGTCACTTTCTCAGTTATCGTCATAGAGATTAGATTTCAGTCGCAATTAAGAAATTAGATTATGTTTTTGTTTATGGCAAACGGAATTCAAATAAGTTAATTATACACAAATGCATATATAATACCAGTAGTCAGTAGAGATATGATCATAGTACGTAAGAGAGTTTTTATTGAAAACATTACTTGCTTCTAATAAAAGCGCTATTAATAAAAGTGATTTAAGTGTTTTAAGATTCGGGTCAGTTCTGAATTATTAGGACCAATCGAACAAGCAATCCTTTTTGTTCACAGGCAAGATTCTAGCCTCTCTGTTTTTAAAGACTTTGGTATAATTAAACAAATGAGACCGTCCAAAAAACAAACAAAAAATAATTACATGAGTGTGACTTTAGAACCAGGAACTTAAGACTTTGAACAATTCCTCTCAGAATGCACATAATTTATTGTGGCATGATACTTGTTTGACAAAAGAAGGTGTTGAACATGGGTTCGACGAAGGGTATGCATCATGTCATGCACGAATCAAATTCTATCCATCAAAGGACCCATTTTACTACGCAAAGGTCATATTGCTCATACACATTCTTTCACATCCAATATGTGCTTATCTTTAAATGTTACATAATTATGTTACCAGCTGAATTATAGGCATCCATTTGGGTTGTTAGTATGAGGCCGATGTGTTCGCGGTGCAAGGCAGTCAAGAAATTTTCTTAAGAGAGTTAATTAAAATCGAACAATAAGCCTTAATCAGGAGTACAGTGCCAAAGGACCACAAACAAAGGTACCCAACTACTGATGTGTTAGTTCAGACCCAACGATATATCCCTTACAACTACATATTCTTCTTGATTTAGCATCCAACGGCCCTATTGAGCCCACGTCATCCGTTTGATCACACAAATCTGCGGAAAAAAGCTGCATGTAATTAAAGTAACAATATAGTAATTATGCTTGCGCAACATGGTTAGATTAATTTATATTATGAACGTATCATGTTTGTTTGACTTGATGTGTTGCGGAATTATTTAGTCCCAACTTGGGAGTACTAAATGTGCCTCCTCTCCTACTTCCACCTTCTCTCGCCACTTGAAGTTGAAGCCCCTTCTTCTCACTCACTCAAGAGCCAAAGAGCCAAAGAGCCAAAGATGTTGAACACTGGCAACCCTGAGCTTCCTCAAAAATCCCAAGATGAAAACAAGTTCTTCTCTAGGCTTCTGTCCAAGGAAAGCTCCATAGCCAATCCATCTTTCAAGGTCTACTATGGAGGCCTGGCTGGTAGTGTTCCATTCATCTGGGAATCTCAGCCTGGCACCCCAAAACACACATTTAGTGATGACCCAATTCCTCCTCTCACTCCTCCTCCTTCGTACTATTCAAATTCCTTCAAAAAACCAACCAAAAAGCACTCAAGATCCAATCTTTTACACACCCTTTTCCCAAAAATAAGCCTCAAGAAAAACCATGTACCATCTTCTCCTTCTTCACCTTCCTCACCTTCTTCATCATTGTTTTCGTCATCAGATTCATCTATGCATGTGCCAGTGAGCACAAGGAAGTTCCATGGAAGGAGGAGCCGGTTTTCAAGCAGAAGCTCATCTTTTGACTCCATGGGAGACTTTGAGGAGGAGGAGGATGCTGGCTCGCCTACTTCAACATTGTGCTTTCGATTCAGCAGAGTGACCAGTGGAGGCAACCGAGGCTGCAATCAATTTTAATGGCCTTGATGATGTCAATATTTGGCCATGGATCTGGGCCAAAGGTACCTCTTATAGGCTAGTGATGATGCTCTGTAATCTTCGCTCATGTTTTGCTTAATTAATGTTTAGAATGTATTAATGTGGTAGTAGTAATTACCTCAACTGCTGCCTAATATTCCCCCTTAAACATATATGGTGGTGTTAAGATTGTTAATCTAGTACCTAGCAATTGGCTTTCTGGATGCATGTACGATTTCAGGTCATTAATACTCCTTTTGCTTTTCATTATATATGCAAGTTCAGAGAAACATGTCATCAGTGAAGTAAATATTACCAGAGAGAGACAGCATTTTTGTTTGAGAGTACGAGTAGGTTTTGAAAGAGGGATTGCATCTGGCTGCTTAGCTAGTCGGTTGTTGCGAACATTTTGTGCTCGCTTGATCATATCAAATTATGAATAAGGTTTTTTTTTTTATTCTTCTGCGTCCGTGTCTGCTAAATATTTAATGCAGTGAGGAAAGATGGGGTACAGGTTCCCATCCATATATTCAGTAGTGGCATGGCAGCTTGGTTTGATGATTGGAATCTTTCTGGCTCTGCCTTGTCCTCACATATGTTAATTGCATTTTCGAAGAGTAAAAGCTTCTCTCTTTTGTTAGATACATATTAAATTAATCAGTCCATTAAGCCAAACTGCTTTGATCGGTACCGGTACCTTTCAATCTTGTTACCCCATAATAATTGGGTTATCTGATATTCATCATACAAAGCCTTAAGTCATCCTCAAAAGTTCTTGCCTTTCTATAATCATCTCTAGACTTTCCCACATAAAAGCAAGACCATGAAAATGTTTAAGGGACATGTGCCTCAAGTGTTTAAGAATAGTTTTCTTTGCACCCGAAGTCTTGTGTTCGAATTCCTTCTACTCAATATTGCTTCTATAAAAATAAAATAAAAAATAAAAAAATAAAAAAACACGATATGTATGTGGGTGGGGCTCATCCGTGTTCAAGTCCCAAGCATAGGATTCTATAATTGTACAAAGAAGATCAATAACAAATATAGTGTAGGGTACTGGGTAGTACACCATGTACATTTATATCTTTATGTACCTACTAAGCCTACAAGGAGATTTTATTCCTGGCATTTTAATGAATGATGAAGAGGAAGGTCAAGAACATAAACAGGAAGCGAAATGGAAAGGATTAATTGAAACCACCAACCAAACCAGACATATGCAAAAGTTATTTGTTTATCTAATTTGTCGGCAGCCTCTGGTGGTGAAGTGAGTCCACTGGTGCTTGCTCTCCATGTGCGCGCGGGCCATTCATTGCATGGTATATTATAGACACACATGGCTCCAAGTACATCCTGACGTACGCCACTTGCCCAAAGTCATCACTGAGTTTTTGGTTATGAAATTTATGGCAACCTTCAATTCTAAATTTCTAGGGTTAGGGTATGATATGATCATAAGTTGATATCTCATGTTTACCATATTATTTTAGTCAGTCATATATATATATAGTCTCAAATTAATGGATGATCCATTTGAATATGTGACAAATTGATGTATTGAGTATATGAATCAGGGTTACGAAGCGTATTGTGTATTTGAATATGTGACAAAACTTCCTACAGCTTTATATTTCTTCTCATTTGTTTTTTAATATTATTTATTTCACATCTTGTGTGCGAGCTTGCACATTTTCAATAAACATTCTATAGCGATATTCTATATGCCTTTGTTTGCCTGTTTTGTTTTGTTACGTGGGCTATATTTTTAGTGATCTGTCTAGCTAATTGAATTTGGTTGCTGCCCAATTGGGCTGATTTGTTGAAAAGCCCTATGACGCTTTTCAATTAGGCTTGAGTTTTGGTGCTCTCAAGCAGTCCAAAACTTCCACTCTTTGATCCCTCAACTAGCCCTATAGACATTTGTAACCATCCACACCACAACCC